AGGCGGGCTGCGCCTGAGCCGTGTGGCGTTTGCAGGGAATCCTCCTGGCCACTGGGGCCAGGGCCTGCGGCGAGCTCCGGCCCAGGGCTCACACGGCAACATCCAGTCTGCGCCCACGTGCAGTGCGGCCCTGGGCGGCCCCCTTGCAGGACACTGGCCAGGCCTTTCCTAGCCTCCCCCCAGTGCCTACTCTGGAGCCCCAGACGCTGCTTCCCCGGGGTGCAGGCCCCAGGAGGGGCAGGCGCACGTCACTGCCTGGGACACAGGGACGTCCCTCTCCTGGAACCCGCCTGCCGGAGGCCAGCGTCCGGCCCTTCCAGCGCGGCTCCCTGGACTCCGGCTGGGCTCTGCAGCCCTGAGTGAGTGACTCTCAGCAGAGCCAGGGGGTCTGCAGCACAGGAGAGGGCCCCTTCTCGAGGGGCTTTGGGCCCAGAGCCCTGCTCACCGGATGCACACGAGACCTGCAAAGTGCCCAGCCACAGACCCAAGGCAGCTGCAGCACGGAGGCGCTCTCTGCATGCCGAGAGCAGCTGGCTCTGGAGTGCAGCCTGGCCCGGAGGGTTGGGGCACCTTTCAGCAGGCTTTGTGCAGGCTGCTAGCTACCCCATCGGACCATCAGCCGTCGCCAGGAGGGCAGTGCCAGAGACTCTCCATCGGGGCCACGCCTGGGGATCAGCAGAAGGTCCCTGAGCCGCAGCCCCCATCAGAGCTGCAGCACTTCCCCATGGCTGCCCCACAACAGCACAGAGCCCTGCCCTAGGCTACTCCAAGGCAATGAAAGAGAAGGGGAAGGGCCGGCTCAGTGGAAGGGGCCAGACACCCCAGAGCAGCTGAAATGGGAAACAAGGCCACCCTTGTGCTTGGCTTGGCTGCAAGAGGCCCACGCCCACTGGCCTTGCCCCAGAGCTGGGCGTGTGAGAGGCAGGGGCTGGCGTGCAGCCCGCGTGTTTAGGAGGGCTAGCGCCGAGTCCCCAGCTTTTGGCCCAGTGATTTCAGTCTAGGCAGGGCACAACAGGAGTTTTGCCCCAGGAAATGCGGTTTTAGGCAAGGCCCTGACCAGCGTTTCCTCTGAGCTATGTGCCTGCGCGGCCGCGCTCTACAAATGTTAGGACCGCCCATGTCATTTTAAGAGCTGCACAGCAGCATTCACCATTCCCCTTCCTGCTGGAACGGAGGGTGAGTGGTGGGGGTGGCAGCAGCTGGCAGCCTGGTGGGTTCCTGGCAGTGGTTAGCTGCCCTTTTGCTCCACCTGGTGCCAGCGCACGTGCGCTGAGACTGCCCCAGCTGGAATGGGGCTTGTGCGGCTGCTGCTTTACTCCAGCTGGAGCCGGGGCCACCCACAGAGACTGGGACCGTGGTACTGAAAATAGCACCCAGGGAAGCCTCTGCTCCAGTCCCGGCACGCAGTCTCCCCAGGAGCAGCAGGGGCTGGGGACCACAGTACTGAAAATAGTGTCACAGCCCAGCTCCAACCCCACAAACTGCTTCCCACGTCGAAGGCAGAAAGTGAGGGAAGGGGCAGGGAGAGACCTAAGGGCTGTGTCTACACTGGCAAGTTATTCCGGAAAATCAGCTGCTTTTCCGGAAAAACTTGCCAGCTGACTACACTGGCC